GCCGGGGCTGAAATAGCTGGAGATTGCGCGGTAGGGCACTCACCTCAGAGCGGCTGCGCTACCGTGGGCCTGCGCCGTGGAGACTGCGACCGCGCCGGCTCCTCGCAGCCTCCTGCCACCAGCGGCAATGGCGAGCGCTGCCGCCTCTGCCGCCGCCGCGGCCGCCGAGGAGGGGGAGGGGAAGGAGGAGGCACGCACGCGACGCACGGCTCGGCTTCCCCACCCGGAGGCCGCCATGATGGCAAATTCGGCACGGTGCTGGCGGCCGCCGGGGAGGGGGCTTTCGGCGGTGCTCCGCAGACCCCGGCCGCCTCGCCGTTTTTTCCTGCGGCTGCCGAGCGCCCGCTGGGCCCGGAACTAGGAGAGCGGGAGGAGCACACCCGGGGCGCCTCCAAGAGTGGCGTACGCTGCCCAAAATGGTTGCTAATCTGGAGAGTACTTTTCGCTCCCTAGCTTCCCCAGCGCGGGGAATTGGGACTTACCGGGGGTCAGGGGGCTCCCCCACATTTTTCTCGGCGCGGCTCGGCCCGTCCATCCTCTCCCCACGCCCTTTGAAATGGCCTTTGCTTCTATATTTCAAAGCCTTACGCAGATATTTTAAAGTTTTGTTCAGAGCAATACGATCATTTATTCGCTCGGTCGTTAGGTAAACGTTCTAAGAGGGGCCCTGAAGATGCACCTGTTAGCAGACCAAATCCTATTTAAGAAAATTCTTTTTTAAATTTAAAATTCTTGCTCTCCTGGAGCTTATATGAAGCAGTAAGTGCGTGCCTAAGAAAAGAGAGGTAACAGTGGGAAAATAGAGATTGGGGACATATGAAAGATCTGGTTAGTTTTAAGTGTAATCAGCAGACTATGTCCATCAGAATCACTGATGCATAAATTAAACTCTGAGCTTCAATGGATACTAGAATCTTAGCATGCTGGACTAGGAACCAGCATTTTTAACACTTCTTGCCACCCCCTCCCGTTCCTGGAGAATTTTTTTTGCACACCACAGCACCACAGTGTGCATTAGATAATTACAAAATGTCCCACAGGGTGTCAGAAAACAGTTTAATAAATATTCATTTTCAAGAACACATTTTCCTCAAATATTGAATGTCTTGTTCTCTCGTGTTTTCTAAGACAGTGTCACCGTCGACAACCATCCCTGTTGGAATAATCCACACTCCTCAAGTTCATGCATCCACTGAAATCTTCAAAGCTGTTGCCTGTCACTTCTTACCTTGGTTAGACTACTAGTAGGGAGATGCTGTTGCCCTAGATTCCTCATGGTCTTCCTGCCTCTAGAGTTGCTGTCTCCAGCCCATTCTGCACACTTCAGCTTGAATGGTCTTTTTTTTTTTTTTTTTTTAAATCATATTATTTCTCTGTTTAGGACACTTAATTAGACCCCATTACATTTAGGCCCATGTCTAAAATTCTTTGTGGTGGTTTTAAGGCCCTTGATGACCTCACCCATGGTGCCATCTCTGACCTCACTTGCCACATAACTTCTCTCAGGCTGCAGAAGGACTGGAAGGTTCTTGGGTCTTATAAATCAGGGAATTGTGCCATTTTGAAACTTTTTGCAAACACTGCACCCTCTGGCCAGAACTTTCTTCAGTTCTCTCTTCTCACCTGCTGGAAAAAGTCATCTGAGTAATTCCTGTTACTCTTTTTAGTCGCAACATTTCCTTCATCCCTCATCCCCCAAGATTGAGTGCTTTGGCCCTTTCCTCAGTATACCCAGGACTTACCACTTACACCTACATTATCTCTCTCCTTTCTTCCTTTCTTTCTACAGGATCTCTTGTAGTCCACTCTAGCTTCCAATTCATTATACAGCTAAGGATAACCTTGAACTCCTAAAACTTTCTCCCAAGTGTTAGGATTATAGGTCTGGGCCCCCATGCCCAGTTTCTGTGTGCTGGGGATCAAACCCACGGCCTCATGCATGGTAGACAAGAATGCTGCCAGCTGAGCCATATTCCCAGTCCCTACATTATCTCACTTCTGATTTCATTTGCAGGTGGGGCCCACAAGGTAAGTACTACTAAGGTCCCATTTTACAAATGGAGAAAACGAGATCTATAGGTATTACTTGTCTCAAACCAAAAGAGATGGAATCAGGTTGGATGTAGTAGTACCTGTCTTTAACTCCAGCCCTGGAGAGGCAGAGGCAGGCAGATCGCTATGAGATTCAAAGCTAGCCTGATATACATAATGAGACCTTGTCTCAGAAAGAGAGAGGAGACTAGTACTGAGCCTGACTTCAGAGTTGCAACCTTAACTGTCACCAGGGTCTTTAGATGCCAAGTCATACCTGCTCACAAAGTGCAAAAGAAATTTAATGGGCCATAACCAACATTTCATAAAAGAAGTAGATATCAGAGAGTATTAAACTTAGTAAGTTTTTGGGTCTAGAGAGATGCCTCATCAGTTAAGAGTGCATGCACAATGCTTTTACAGAGGACCCATGTTGGGCAGCTCACAACTACCTATAACTCTAGCTCCAGGGGTCTGGCTCCCTAGTCTGGCTTCCACAGGCACTTGTACATACATGGCATACACATAACATACACAAAAATACATCATTTTTTAATTCAACTTTTTAAAAATATTTTATGTGTACGCATGTATTGCCTGCATGTAGGTAAGTGCACCCTGTCGTACAATACCCATGGAGGACAGAAGAGACTCTCAGATCCCCTGGAACTGGAGTTACAGACAGTTGTTAACTGCCATGTGGGTGCTGGGATTCGAACCCAGGTCTTCTGCAAGAACAGTGTTCTTAACTGCTGCACTCTCTCCAGCCCCTTCATTCAACTTTTTTTTTTTTTTTTTTTTTTTTTTTTTTTTTTTTTTTTTTTTTAAAAAAAAAGAGGACGATAAATCTTTCACTGTGATATATCAAAATAA